AACTTTAACTAAAACGCCGGGCCGGGCGGCCCGGCAAAAAACTTGGCCCGCCCGGCCCAACAATTTTTACCGATTGGCCCGCCCGGCCCGAAAGAAAAGCTTCGTTGGGCCGGGCCGAGCCAGGCTCGGGCCGGGCGGGCCGGGCCGGTCCACTGGGCCGGGTGGCCCGTTTCGAGCCCTGGTAACTAGAACAGATACTAAAGAGTATGTAGGGAAAAAGTTTGTTCAAACTTATATAATAGAAATTTATTTATAAAGGTTTTTGTCTTTGAAATGTAAAGGTACATTATCAGCGCAATCTACCCATATATTATATTTACGATAAATCTTGTTGTTTATCATGTGTATATCTGTTTCAATAAAAATCCATATTTTTTTATTCTTTTCCTTTCCGTATAAATTAAACATATAACTGGTAATCTACTCATATGAAACTCTATCTTACAAAGAAGATTTTCTTATCAATTCAAAGAATAAAACATTAACCTGTATAAACTTGAATATTAGAAACATTAGGAAATATTTCATCAAATCGTTCAAGCAATAAAGAAAGAGATGGATGTAAATCAATGGAAACATCTTGAATATGTGGCCACGTAAAAATATTTGGATGGAAACTAAAATAAAAAATTTTACATATTCTTCTAAAAAAGGTTTATCTTACACTAAACCATTCATAAATTGAAGTTTATTAACAATATAAGAAGAAAGATGTTGATATGAATTAAATGGATCAAAGAAACAAGTTACATTTGTCAAATGACGTGAAATAAAAAATTCATCGATTTTAAATGAATTTATTATTTTTTCAATCTGATTCGATAATAATTGACATTGAGAAACAATATAAAAGCAAAAATCTTTTATATTTGTTATTATATCAGGTAAACAATATTGACGAATAAAATTTGCATCAACATCGTATTCTTTAACTATTGTATCTGAGAATGAATAGATTTTATCAATTTGAAGATGAAGTTTCAATTTTCGGGTATGATTAAGATTATTAAGAATCCATTTCAAATAGATCAAGTCAAAATCATTTTCAATTAATGTTTTTAAAGTAAAATAATTCAATTTTGGTACCTATATTTAATACAAAAGAAAAATAAATAAAAAAAATTGTTCGTTGAATACACTTGTTTTATTTGAAATTAATTTTCTTGAAGTCATATTTATAAATTCATTCTAATTTAATGAGTTATTTGCTCAGCTTCACTATTGTTTGAATTATTTATTACATAGCGTGATGCTTCTCGTTGAAGCAACCAGCGAATAAAATTTGTCATAATCAGAACAAAAGGTTTCTATTTTCTTTGCAGTTGTCTTCAGACAATGCGCGCAGATCCTTCTTTTTTCTCAAGCTTGTGATGAGCGAGTTTGCACTTCGAATACCTGGTTAATTTTTGTCTTACACAAAATTTCAGCTTCTCGAATGGCATATGAAGCAGTAAAGATCGCACAAAACCTTCGCGAAACTGCACAATGGTCACTTCGTTCAGTGTGATATTAGGATATTCCTTTAGCAGGTATTCCTCCTCGCCCTCACTATTTTACACTACCGTCCGTCAATAAGCAACACCAGCTTAATGAACACTTGATGTTACATACAAAAAAGAAAAATGATGGGTCAGCACAGAATGAAAAGGTCAATGGATGTATTTGTCGAAAGACAGATACATACGAAAATGAATCTGCAGAACTATTGTCTAATAAATCGAATTGAGTTGAATATGCCAACAGCAGAGCTGGGTAAGTACGGATTTTCTCGAGTATAAGTAAGAGTACGAGTATGTACTCATACTAATAATCATTTATGAATGAATTCAATCATTGAATAATGAATAAAATACATATATCAACATAAAAATAATATAGGAATTTGGTCTATTATAAATAATTTCAGCAAAGATGAAAAATCAATGATAATGCCTTAATTTTACCTTTTCAAACCAGTTTCCATTTGAGTTTATTAATATTTCAATATCTGACTTCGATCGAGGTTCGATGTTCATTGATTCTTTAAAAATAACTGACAATCGTTCAATATTGGGAATATGTTCAATAAGATGTTCAAGAAAACATGTATATTTAAGACGAATATATAAAGAACGAAGTGACAAACAACCATGTTGAATTTTATTAGAAATTGAACTTGTAGAAGGATGTGAAGACAATATTAGACATTGATGAATATTACTATAGAATTCATCATCGGCAATATCAAGTCGAAGTACCGTTAGTTGACAGTCATCAGAAAACAATTGATGAATGAGCTTTTTAAACATCACCATTGATTTTCCTAAATTACATCAATAAAACAAAAAATAGTAAATATAAACCGATCATTAATGCAATAATTATTCTAATAAACTTTTCTCAATCTTCAAATCAGTTATATTTATCTATACAAAGTTTTAGACTTCGTTTCTATGATATGTTATATATATGTCCGATGTCCTAGGCAAAATTAAACTTAGGCAAAATTCGTTTGAAACAGGCGCTAAACTACGAAATCATTTTCGTTTATCTAAAAACGAGTTTTAATTCACATTAATAACATTTAGCAAATATTTTGATTTTTTAAA